CTTAACGAGAAATAATACGATTGGTCGGTGTTGAAGAATTATACAATTCATTTGCACACCATAAGTTAATGATATGTATGGAGAATAATTTATTTAATAATAAAGATAAGTACATGCTTAGACATGGAACCATTGGTCGTTAAAATTATATGTAACTCAATGTTGTGAAGACAGTATAGTTCAATTAAATTATTACATTAAAAAATAAAACGAAAGCAATATTTTTTTTTTTTTTAATTATCAATGACTAATTAGTATCAAAATAATTATTGTACGATTTGTTAAAATTCTATACAAATCAATCTGTAGACGTAATGATTTACTTGTATCCCCTGAAGTGATACAAAACTAATTACGACCAACACTCGGAGTACATTACTATAGTATTAACCTAGTTATTTTGTTATTTGAAAAATGTATGCGAACTGTGTGTAGTTGTTATGACAATGTTTTTCATTAATTTTTTATATTATTTTCAAATGCTGCTTTACAGTGTCTGTATCATATTGATCACACTCGAGTTGAGCGCGCAAATCTAGTTCAACGAGCTATCGACTGAATATAAATTTTAAAAAGATAAAATGTGGACTTCATCTCAAAGATTTTATATTTCATTTGTCATGCAAAAAACGTGTTTGACAGTCGTCGGATCACACATGAATGATACCGTAGAACGTGATAGTATTCCAAAATGTAAAATGTTACTGGGCAAGTATTTACTGCAGTATCATTTTATAGTGAGCACTGTATGTAGTAAATTTTACATACCATTGTAAATGCACAAACACTAAAAGTATCACACTGAGAGATGAAAACAAACAAATCATATAATTGCTCATAGCCTTAAAAACTTCATATTAACAAGCACATGTTTACTAAATAGACGAGTACTTCGAACTGCACTAATTTACATTCGTAAGTTCTGCAGTATATACAATAGATAAAATTTTAATTAAAACGAGCTTTTGTCATTAAAATTTCTTAGAATTTTTATAACATTCGAAGGCGTTAAATAAAAGCAAACAACGTGACTTGTTTGGAAATAATTTAGAATGCAATTATATTTGCCCAACAAACTAAAACCTTCAAATCATCCTTAATGAATTGTATTTAAATCATCAATGATACATAACTCTTTTGCTCTGATCTGACACCAAATAGTCTCAGAATAAAGAATTATTAATTGCTATAAATAATATACGTTTTTTAATATACTAAAATGGATAAATGTTTATAATTCTGTGAATAAGCATTTACGTATTAAAATTTGAATAACAGGTAAAGCAATATCTACTCTATAAAGTTTCCCGGTAATGAAGTATCTAACTCCTTTTCACATTTTTTTATGAATATTTCTATATTAATAAACTCGAAAATAATAGTATTAAAATACAATGAAGTTTATTTTCATATGAATTTTATTTTATGAATCGAAATGTCAGTTTAATTATTCAAAGTTAGATAACTTATTCAAGTTTCTATGGTAATTGACATTTTAAAATTTAAACGTTTTATCTCTATAGAGATAAAAGTTATGAACAGTTTTTTACAAAGATGTAACCATAGTTACATGGAAAGATATAAAAATATGCTATCATTTCACTATTTTTATTTTTTTATGGAGATAAAAATTTAATTAATTTATAACATATAAATAAATTTATCATTAGAAAATTCCTCGCAAATTTTAAAAACTAGCAATTAATAGTTTTTAAAGACATTTTTTACTATTGTCATTTATACTATTGTTTAGTATAATAAATAATTATTTAAAAAATTCACACGACAATATGTATATTGACAATACTCACATGTTAAATAAGATTTTATCTACGTGAGTGTTAAAATGGTTTGGTCTATTATTATAATCGCGATGAGTGAACAAACGATGAATCACACGATTATTATTATTTATGCACTGATCTACAATTCTACTTTCTCTTAAATTCAATACCAACTTACAACGTGTTTGAACATAATTTTAATAGATGACAATTTTCATGTCTGTAGCTGCACTTCATGTTTATTGTTTTAGATAATGAATTAATCGTTCGTTAATTTTTTTAAGATGTATACCATAATGGGTTAAATTATTATTGATTCTTAATTATGAAACAGTGTCATGTGTTCGTATGAGCAGTTTATTGTATTGTTGTAATAATTAACAAGCAAAAATTCAACTACTCGTCATATAGATCTCACAAATTTCTGTCTAGATATTTTCATTACTCACTAAACATATGTATGTTTGGTAAAACCTCACAGAGTCGATATTTTAAAATAATTCCGTGTGGGTAAATATTACAGCCGACATTGGCACTTGCTGACCAACAATAATTAGCAATAAAAAACGATTAAAAATAGATCATTTGTTCGATGAAAAATGACCGAGACAAACTCTCTTAATATAGATCACATTCCGTCTTACACTCGAACTCGACCCATTTATAATACAAATTCTATGACAAACCTGTTGTTTGGGAGTGGTTGTGGATAATGCGTCGGACCAGTTTATCGGGTGAAGGTTTCATACAGGCGCGAGTGTGTGTGTGTTTTATTATTATTAATATCTTTTCATATTTTTTTTTGCTCCTTATTAGTATTTTTGCTCGCCCACGCGAGTAAGGCCGTCGCGTATTAGGAGGGGTCGAACACCCCAAGCTTTGAGAGGCGTTATCGAATATAAATACAACGACTGCCATCCGTCCAAACATCAGTCTCTTTTTATTCGACTTCAGTGTTCAATTTACACACAAACAGCACACCTTACAATGGCCGCAAAGGTATGATACAATTAATACATACATATAACCCTAATGAATTTTATAGCTGGATTATTTTTTAACTTCGAGATTTTATCGTTTGTGTTTCATTAATGTAAAGCTATCAAAGTGTTTTTTTTTTTTTAATTAACTTTTAAAAAGTATAAATCATCTTAAATGTAAAATTGTATTTTTCGTTTGACATTTTCATTTATACACGTATATAAATCATAAAACAGTTTTCAAGACATAAAAGTTATACATTAAGTACTTAATATAATGGAATAAAACAATTTAAATGGAACTAACAAAAATAATAATGGCGTGAAAAGTTGCATTAATTCAGAATACATTTTGAACTAATAGTGCACTATACCTAAGAGTTTAATTACCCCGACTCAGAATATATGCATCCGCCGCAACATGTCTTGATTTTTATTTTTTTTCAGTTGATCGTCTTCGCTGCTTGCGTGGCTTCTGCTCTCTCCCAATATGCCGCCCCAGCCTACCCTGCACCCAAAGCTTACGCTCCAGAACCAGCATACCCTCCTATCCCATACAACTTCGAATACAGCGTCAATGACCCAACCACCTATGACATCCACAGCCAACAGGAATACTCCGACGGAAACGGATACGTCAAGGGATCGTACAGTTTGGTCGAACCTGACGGCTCCACCCGCGTCGTCGAGTACACCGCCGATGACTACAATGGTTTCCAAGCTGTCGTCAAGAAGGAAGGTGGATACGCTGCCCCATCATACAAGCCAGCTTATCAAGCTCCAGCTTACAAACCTGCTTCTTATCCAGCTCCAGCCTACCCATCAGCTCCAGCTTACAAACCAAGCCCATACAAACCATACTAAGATGTGACACCAAACCGTTTAATAGCTTTTGCTCAAATCTTCTCAATTTCTTTCTAGACCAGTATTACGTTCACATTGAATGTTAACTAATTACCATAATTTGTACCTTAAATTCA